TGCCCTCTTCAGGCAATGAGTGGCACTTCTTGTCCCGGCTGACCATTATCTGGAGGAACAAAATCAATAGGAAGCCTCATACTCCACCAAATAGAAAACAGACCCCAATGACTTCCACTCTTCAGTGGATCCGCCTGACAGGGATGGGACCTCAAGCATGCCCCTCCACCTCTCTGAGCCTCAGTCTGTTCATCTGTAAAATGGGTACAATGACGGTACCACTTCCACAGGGCTGTTGTGAGGATCCAATGAGATGGTGCATGCAGAGCACAGAGGGATTCCCCAAAGAACTGGACCTGTAACTATTTCAAGGAAGGGCTACCTCCAGAACCCTGACACATTCACTTGATCCATTTCTACTGCTCCAGTATCCCCAGCAACCCCAGATATGCCTGGAGATCTAAAAGCTAAAGAAAGCCCCCGGTGGCTAGAGGAGAAACCCCAGCTTCTCATAAGAAGGGAAAGAGGAGGGAACGTGCTGATTCGCAGTATCTGCTGAATGTTAAGCTCTTCGTGCTTTTCCTTTTAATCCACTCACCAACCCTACAATATTTACAATCGTGTTTTCCTGGGAGAAACAGAGGCTGAGAGAGGCAGAGCCGCTTGACCAAGTACCCACAGTTGCTAAGTAGCAGAGCCAGGATTTGAACTCAGACCTGGCCCATGCTCTTCCTCACATCATCCTGCCAGGCAGCCATCTGTGGGTTTTCCAAGGGCTGATAGTAGAGAGAGCTCAGAGGCCCACAGAACTCCTTCCATTCAAGGACCCCTCCAGCCACACTCTCCCAACTTACTTAGGAGTGGGTCCTTCTGCTTCTCCAGGGTCCCCTGACCAGATCTGCCTGTGGGGCTGGCTCAGAGCTGTATGCCTGCCCTGGGAACACCTCTGCTTCCCCAGGGCGTGACTTACCGATGATGTTCTGAATAAACTTCACATCAAAGGAGGAGGCTAAGAGGCGCATCAATGTGCATATCTGAGGGAGCGAGATGGGGGGAGAAGAGGTGGAGAAGGAGATAAAAGGACAGATTCATCATCAACTGGGGGCGAACTGCTGGCCACCCACAAACGGGCTCTTCAGATGCAATCTTAGAACCCCTAGGATTCTAGGGCACTGGAAAGGGAGAGGTCAAAAATCAGAGCACCATAGGATGCTAAGATCCTAGCACCTACTGCCTTCAGTCCCAGAGCCTTAAGAATATAGGGTATTCACCTCCCAGACGCCTGTAATCTTAGAAACCTTAAACTTTGGAACCCTGGAATTTTAGAGTCAAATGGGCCCTGTGAACCCTACAGCAGCGTTTCTCGTGATTTTGTGTGCAGTTCCCTGAGGATCTGATTAAAATGAGAATTCCAATTCTTCAGGCCTGGGGTGGGATCTGAGAGTTGGCGCTTCTAGCAAGAACTGTGCTGCATTCACTTGATCCATTTCTACTGCTCCAGTATCCTGGAGTGGCGAGGCTCCGGCCCCGGGATTTGCCTTTCATTGACCAAGATTCCCAGGCCCTTTCTAGAATCACTAATTCAGAGCCTCTGGAACTTTGGGCAAATGCCACATACAGCTTCGTATGAGGTACAGGGATCCTGCACATGGTACATATGGTTTTGAATGATGTGCAAGTAAAATGCCTATGTTATTGTAGGTCTGCGTTTATTTTTTAAGTTCATTGTGTTATAAGTGATATTAATTTCTATGAATGGCAGGGATGTAAAGTTTTCTTTTAAAAATAAGTGTGTTTAAATTTAAGTAAGTGGAGTTGTGTCGATTAAAGGAACACATTAGCTAAACACACATTATTAGTATGTGGATATGACAAATAGCTCGTTTGGGACCCAGTTAGGCCTCTGCTCTCCTTCCTACACCCCCCAGATTGAGTAAAGAGGGGCAGGGTCCAGCTGACAGCCCAATGAAGCTTGCGCCTCAGAAGGAAGGGGGCCCAGAGAGCAGAGCCAGGCCTGTAAATGTGCTCTGGGCCCCCAGGAGTGGAGGACTCACCTGGTTCTGCACCACGAAGGCCACAGTTTTGCCCAGGAATTCACTTAAACCTCCTGCGAGCTTGTTGGCCAATTCGTTGTTCCTGGAAAAGAAAGAGAACTAATAAAACATGCTCGAGTGAGCAGAGCTGCCAGGTAGCAAGCAGTGGGGAGAGGGTGGGAGATGGCAGAGTACCTTGAAGGCAGGGAAACAAACTCCAGGGACACTAAGGTGCATTTCTAAGCACAGAGACAGCCTCCCTCTATCCAGGGAAATCCTCATTTATAATCCCACTAGAGGCCTGGTGCACGGACTTGTGCACCGGTGGGGTCCCTCTGGGTGGCCTGCGGGGATTGAGCTGAAACCCACGGTCCAAGGCTGCCTGCAGCTCTTCTTCCTGCCATTCCTGCTCATCCTCACTTCACTGTGCCTGCCGCAGGCTCGCACCCAATCAGTCCCTATCAAGAGGCTCGTGCTGCCACAGCAGCGTTTGCCAACAATGAGCCCTATGTCTGGTGCGTTCCCGAAGGGAGTGGCCTGCAGGATCTGGCTGAAACCGGGCCTCCAACATCCCCCGATGGGTTCCGGATTGCAAGATGGCACAAGCCAGGCCGAGGGAACTCACGGGTGCACAACTGGGGCCGAGTAGGGACACGGGAAGTTCGACAGTTGGAAAGGGACCACGGGAGGGCTCCGGAGGCATGTCTGACCTGTCTCGCTCAATCCGGATCTGCCAGACCCCAGCAGCAAGCTAACCATCCGGTCGGAGCATCCGCCCTCTAGTGGTCAGTGCAAATCATAGCGAGCGTTGAGCAGCCTTAGCATATTATGCTTTGATTGGTTGTTTGGTTGTTCTGCCATTAGGTCTATTTGTATATTACCTTTTTTAACATATAGGATGTCTGACCAGGACTCATCCCAATGCCTCATGAGAATCTCATCACAACCCCCTTCATTCAACAAATATAATAGCGCAGCCACCATGTCCAAGGACCAAGCTAGGCTGGGACATAGGATGAGCGAAGTGCAAACAGCTCTTAACCTGGTACCAAACATTAAGCAAGTCTTGCTAAGGCTAGCTCCTTCCCACCTTCAACTCTCAGAGTAACTGTCATCTCCTCAGGGCATCCCCCTCTGAATACTGCCCTAAGGGAGGGCTTTGTATTACGGTTCCCTGATAAGTGTGCTGCTCCGCTCAGGGCTTATGCCTTCTGACATCTTCCTTGAGAGCACTTTATTAAGGGGCTGAATGCTCGCCTCTCTGCCTTTCCCTCAGGACAAAAAGCACCACAAGAGCAGGTCCTTGTCTATTCTCATCAATGAGTTCACCAGAGCTCAGAACACTGCCTGTCCGGCACATGGTAGGTGCTCAATACATTTGTAGCTGAAAGAATGAAGTAAACATACAATTAAATGTATGATGACAACTTGTAATAAGTACTCTGAAGGGTGGGAGCAGGAACTTTTGAGAGGAGGAAACCTGTTTTAGATTCTAAAGAATGAGAGTCGCCGAAACCGGTTTGGCTCAGTGGATAGAGCGTCGGCCTGCAGACTGAAGGGTCCCAGGTTTGATTCCGGGCAAGGGCATGTACATTGGTTGTGGGCACGTCCCCAGTGTGGTGTGTGCAGGAGGCAGCTGATCAATGTTTCTCTCATCGGTGTTTCTAACTCTATCTCTCACCCTTCCTCTCTGTAAAAAATCAATAAAATACATATTAAAAAAAAAGAAGGAGAAGAATGAGAGTTGGTTGAGGTGGGGTGTGGGGAGGGGAAGGTATCAAGGACAGCCCTGCACAGGTCTGGAGGTGGGAAAGAGGCACAGAGCAAAGTCCAGTGAGTTTGCCAGGGGAGAACAAGGAGTGAGTGAAGAGAGATGAGGATGGGGCAGGTCAGGCAGAGCCTAGAGGAGGGTTTGAGATTCCACCCAAAGCAGAAAAGAAAAGCCCTGAGTGGATTTGGAGCAGCAGAGTGGAAAGCCATTCTATAGATTTGGACACTGAGACCCAGCGGGCAAAAGGAATTTCCTGGGGTGGCGGGCAAAGCAGTGTCCAGCAGGGCACAAAGCTCTGAATTTGCATCCTAGCTTTTCCAACTAACATAGGACCTTTGTTTGGTTTTAGGGGGTCTTTAGGCAGCCTGTGCTCAGACCCCCTGGTGGAGGTAAGGTGGTTTGGCCCTTATTCCCTGCCAAAGCCAACCTGCACCAGTCCTCAACTTCCAGAGCATTTCTCCTGCCCCAGCCAAGGCCAGGGCCACCCATTCTCCCTCAACCCTCTTCCAGAGACCAAACCTGCTCTTTCAATCACACAGTTTAAGATGTAGATTTTTGTGGGTTAACAGGGATCAGTGATTTAAGTGGATAGGATTAAGGTCTCAAGATCTCATCTCAGGAATTTTCCAGTGGGTAGAGAACAATTTGGAGACAATCTGAAATCAGAGCCCATGATGAACATTTACTCCTCTTCCTCCTCCCAATCAGAAGCAAGAAGGTAAATACAATTGATGATGATTGAGATAACAATGAAGGGGTAATTCTTCAAGAAGTTATAGCAATCCTAAATATGCATGCCCCTTACAACAGAGCTTCAAAAATCAAGAAGCAAAACTCTGCTGGAGCTGAAAGGTAAAGTAAGCAAATTTATGATTCTAGTTGGAGAGGTCAACACTCCTGCCTCAGTCATCATGGGGAGAACAAGGAGCCACAAAACCAGCATGGATGCTATTATTACTGAGAGCTTAGTATGTGCCAGGCTCTATGCTGAACACTTGTATTTTATCATTTGGTCAGCTCAGCAGCCAATAAGTAGGTGTTATTGTCATCTTCAGTTTACATGTGTATATGAAAACTGAGGCTCCGAGGGGTTTAAGTTGATGGCGAAGTTACAAGTTAGTGACAGAGCTGGTATGTGAACCAAGGCCTGTCTGACTGCAGAGCCTAAACCCTTTTTCACCACATGGTGCCATCTCCCAGGGGTAGGAAGAGGGCTGAAATTAGGGTCTTTCCCTCCTCTGAGAGCCCAGCTCTCTCAAGATGGATGGTACTTACTTGCCCTTGAAGGACATTGAGATGCTGTTTGGGTCGCTGGTGCAATCTGTCATGACCACTCTGCTTTCACCACTCTTGCTATCAGTTTCAATTTCGAGTGTAGCCATGACGTCCAAGGAAGCGTTCAGCTTGACAGTCTGCTTAATGACAGGCCTGCAGACAATAAGATTCACAGTGAGAAGAGGTCTAGAAGACCTTTCACATCGCCCACGTGGTTCCTCCACCTGTATGAACGTTATTCAGGGTATCTATGGATAATGTCATCATTGCCCACATTCTTTATGGGATATAACATATGTGCATTAGAGCTTCTTCTCCTGGTCTCCAAGGTTTGGTTCCTATGAAAATTTTGTATAGCAGCACACTAATAATTAAGATAATAATATTAATTGGTAACATTTATTGAGCACAGATAATGTTAGGCACGTTTAGAAGGTACTTTACCGGGATTAATTCATCTAATTATTACAGCAATACCATAAGGGAAACTACTATTATTATTGCCATTTCAGAATGAGGGAAGAATCGATATATTGTAGAAAGGTTTAGTAACTATCCTAAGATTTCATTGCTAATGACTGATGAATGGACAGTGTACTCAATTTATCAAGAATTTCCCACATCTATTTCTTTTAAAGTAATTAATGTACTTTAACATTATATTTTTCTACCATTTGATTTCATGTATTTGTGGGCTGCAATTAAAAAAAAAGAAACAAACAAAATAGAAACAGACTCATAGAACAGACTGGCTGTCAGAGGGAAGGGGCTGGAGGGTTGGATAAAATAAGTGAAGGGATTAAGAAAAAAAACAAAACACACCCAAAACTCATGGACACAGATAACAGTATGGTGATTACCAGGGAAAGGGGCTGGGGGAGGGGGGTGGAAGGCAGAAGAGGGTAAAGAGAAGATAAATGGTGATGAACTGAGACTAGACTTTGGGTGGTGAGTGTGCCATGCAACGTGCAGATGATGTATTGCAGAATTGTACACTTGAAACCTATATAATTTTACTGGCCAATGTAACCCCAATAAGTTCAATAAAAAATAATTTTTAAAAATAAAATGTTATTTTTCACATATGCCCTTTATTATAAACTATACACTATCATATGCATTTATCTATAATGGTCACTGTTATTTAAAAAGAATCTTGTGAGACAAAATAATGCTAGAGAAAATTTTGCCAAAGAGTTACTAATGTTTGACCTACTTATTTTTGCAAATTTTACTATTTGATAAATGTTATGATTTCAGAAATATATTTAATGGAGGATTCTTTTAAAAGAGACTTGGTTATGGCCAAAGTTTATTAGAACGTTAGGATTTTAGAGCTGGCAAAGCTCCCTTATTTACAGATAGGGAGACTGAGGCCCAAGGCCACTCAGCAGTGTGGAAAAATGCCTGTTTCTAGTTTGGAGAACCATGGCAGCTGCACTGCCTGGCCCAAGTCCCATGTTCCCATGCATACTCACAGGATCAAGGTCACTTCAGCACCGGTGGAGATCCTTAGGAGAACGCCGTTGCCCTCAGGATTTTTTTGGGCATTCATCGCCAAGATGCGGACATTACTGATTTTCAACCTGTGCAACAACCAAAATTCACCCTTGTCACTTCTTGTGACAGCCATTTGCTGAGCACATCTCTATCAGCATCATGCTGAGCATTTGGGCCTCATCAGCCTTGCCTGCTTTGGTCTTTCCCATAGCCCTCCTCAGAGGTTTGATTGCTTCCATGTTATGGCATGGCATACTGAGGGCCAGGCAGCTGCGATTCCTCCCGAGATACCAAGGAAGAGTAATTGCCTGAGTCAGAATTTGAACTCACAACTCTTTAACTCCAGAATTCTCTGTGTGGAGCCGGTGGGTGTGGATTTCAGTTTCCTCTCTCCTGAGGGGTTTGAGAGTTTATTCTCAGCTATAGTTGGGGAGGAAAGTCTTATTCCCTGGAAAAGGGAATCCGGGCACCAGCAAACAGGTGGAGGCGAGAGAGGGGAACCTTCACCCTGACCCTGACATTACACAGTGTGGGAGCGAAAACCCATATGATGCTCAGATTGGTCAGGTGGCCCTGTCTCTAATTTACTCAACCTCTGGTGGGCCTGGCCTTGGACCACGTAGGCTCTATGGGAAGAACAAGTTTTGTTGCCTTTCTACCTTTAACTTTAAATTTACACCCCTCCCCAAAAGACATGTATTTCCACCTACCCTCCCCCCCTTTATTTTTTTGAGCAAAGATCTCCACCAAGAAGCATCAGCTCACCCTGATGCAGGCAATTTTGAAGCAAGTTTACCAAGGGCTTTATTCAACACTTCTGGAATACTCCGTATCGCATCTGGAATATCCTGTATCACTTTTTCGATGGCTTTATAAGTCTCAGATCCTTTGGTTCCAAGGTCCTGTGCAACTTCTAACAAAAAACAAATGCCACTTAGTGTTATGTGCCACTTATGAAGCCGCTATTATGCACCAGCTACTATAATAGATAAGACTGCCTGTGTTATTTCCTTTAATCTTCATGACAACTCAATGAGGTAGATATTGACATTATTTGCATTTTACAGATGAAATAAGAATGGAAAGTTTAAGAAATATGCCTGAAGACATACAGCTCCAGAGCCCCTCTTCCTTCGATGCTGCTTTCATACTAATATATACTCATTTTTTAAAATCAACAAACCAACCAATCAATTGACCAGACAATTGATAATGATTGTACACCTGCTTCTAGTAGAGATTAAGGGGAGGGGGGTGCCTATTGCTGTAAATGAGATGTCTACATAAGTTTGAAAAAGTAGGTCAAAGAAAATGAAAGAATAAACTAAGACATGGAAAACCTAGAATTAAGGAAAAAATATGACTCCGACCCATAAAAGTGACTAATTGGAGTCCCAGGATGAGAGCATTGCAGCAGGACCAGAGAGCAATAATTCACACAGGCACAGGAAGACAAAGTGCCTTAATAGGAGGTCTCTCGAGAAAAGCGGGATTAATAGAATACATGACATGGCAGAAATAGAATGCAGCGTATGAAAAGAGTTAAGGATATATGTGCAAAATATTTCAAGTGGAAAAGAGCAAGGCAATTACTAACTCAAGGAAAAACAAAAGAATATACTGGAGAAGGTATTATATGTAATCATAGTACTTCAACTTGGCTCTGCAATGGACAGTATCTACCCAGTTATAATGATGCAAACAAAGAATGCCAGTCTTGCCGAAACCGGTTTGGCTTAGTGAATAGAGCATCGGTCTGCGGACTGAAAGGTCCCGGGTTCGATTCCAGTCAAGGGCATGTACACTGGTTGCAGGCACATCTCTAGTAGGGGGTGTGCAAGAGGCAGCTGATTGATGATTCTCTCTCATCGATGTTTCTAACTCTCGATCCCTCTCCCTTCCTCTCTGTAAAAAATCAATAAAATATATTTTTTAAAAAAAGAATGCCAATCTAAATAAAACTATGGAGCTAAGGAGACTTAACTTGGGGTGGTGAACACACAACACAGTGTAAAGATGATGTGTTGTGGAACTGTGCACCTGAAACCTGTATAATCCCCATAAATAAATAAAATAAATTTTAAAAAACTATATCTGGTCTTATAATGCACTAGGGGACCTTAACTCAGGCACTCTGTTTTTTTGTTTGTTTGTTTTGTTTTTTGTTTTTTTTAAATATATTTTATTGATTTTTTACAGAAAGGAAGGGAGAGAAATAGAGAGCTAGAAACGTCAATGAAACATCGACCAGCTGCCTCTTGCACACCCCCTACTGGGGATGTGCCCGCAACCAACGTACATGCCCCCGACCGGAATCGAACCTGGGGCCTTCCAGTCCGCAGACCAATGCTCTACCACTGAGCCAAACCGGTTTGGGCTCAGGCACTCTGTTTTTGAGCTTAGTTTTCTCAGCAGTGAAATTAAAGATGGGGTCCCTTCTATATCTTTGAAAATCACCTGACAATATTTGAAAGGCAGCCATGTACAGAAGTTACTAACTTCTATAAAAATGTTTGTCAACGTGTTGTTAATTTTCCGGAAAATAAAAAGAAAGCCAAGTTATTTTAAGAAATCAGAATTAAAAGGAGATTCATAAAAATAGGCATATAGCTACCTATGCTAGGTAGAGTTAATACAAATCAATGAGAAGAGTAAACAACCTACCAGAGTAATATGTGTAGGATATGAACAAAATACTTAAGTTAAAATATATGAAAAGGTTAAAATATGAAAAAAAAAAGAGTGGATTCTTTTATAGAGAACTGTAAAGTAAAACGAGTTACAGTCTTTCATCTTATGAGACTGGCAAGACATTCAAGTTCTCCATACCAGTGCCATCAAGGGAACAGAGTGAAATATCCTTTGAACTTTTAAAATCTCAATTTTAGGAACTTATCCTATGTATATACTAGAGACATGATATAATATGTAAAAGGATATTCACTTAAGCATTGCTTGTTTATAGAAAAATAATAAGTGGCCTGGCCAGAGTGGTTCAGTGGTTGAGTATCAACCTATGAACCAGGAGGTCACGGTTCCATTCCAGGTTAGGACACATGTCTGGGTTGTGGGCTTGATCCCCAGTAGGATACATGCAGGAGGCAGCCAATCAATGATTCTTTCTCCTCATTGATGTTTCTCTCTCTCTCTCTCCCTCTCCATTCCTCTCTGAAATCAATAAGAATTTAAATAAATAAATAAATTCTATATAATAAAAGGGCAATATGCAAATTAACCATCAGTCCATCACAAAGATGGTGGCGCTCATAGCCACAAGATGGTGGTGTCCAGTTCTCTCAGCCCTGCAGGAGTCCCCCAGTCCTGGGGGGTGTAGGAGAGGCCGCTGAGAGCAGACCGCTGAGAGCAGGCAGAAATGCTTGCTTTGTCGCCGCGGCGTTCTGCGCCTGGCTGTGGATGGGCCTGTGGACCACAGAGAGCCTCTTGGCAGCAGGCACAGAGCAGCCAGGCCCCGTAGAGAGCTACTGGCGCACAGATTCCTGCGCAGCGCTACTAGTAAATAAATACATAAATAAGTGAATGAGCCAGAAAGTGGCTAACCACCTTTCCTAGTAAACCACCCATGAAGTGCAGGCCCTGGTGGCAGTCCCTGGAAATGCAGCATAATGTTTAGGAAAGAGGCTCTTACTCTGAATATTCTCAAGTACACCTTGAACAAGAGGTTCTACGTCATCTATACCATGCTTCACTGCTTCGGTAAGTTTCTCCACCACATTCGCTGAGGTCCCAGTGAGCAGGCCACACAGGAGAACAAATTTCCAAAGCTGAAACATCTTGTGCTGACATTCATAGGAGAAACAGGAGTGAGAATTACCCAGAGGAAGAAGGAGTTCTCAATGAGCACCTCCCCCTCTTCCACTTAACCTTCCTTAAAGACAGAGGTGCCTAGCTCCTGTTTGACAGATGGGCAGCCCAGCTCAGAAAGCTAGGGCACCTTACCCAGAAACACACAGCCAGTGAGTGGATAAGCTGCAATTTGAAAAGTCACACTTGACTACAAATGCATGATCTTGACAAAAAGGTTTTTGCCATATGCTGGCTTCTTTGCCTGGAACATCGGTCCTCTTCTTTCCATTTTCAACCTATTGACTCTCTGGCTTCAGTAAGACAGCGTGTCCGCCACGGGGCCTACTCTAGGCCCCGCTCCAGAGTCTAGGTTAGGGAGCTTCACCCCACCACTTCTTCTGCATCCGTCCTCTGATCGGAGTCCTGGGTGCCAATTTCCTGATGACCTGTCTGCCCCTGTCAGCAGCCTGTAAACGCTTTAGAGGAGGAGCGGTGACATCTCACTGTCGAACCCTCAGCCCCCAGTAAAATCCCTGTAGTCAGGACAGTTCAACGAATAACTCTCTGCTGAATAAAAGTATGAACAAATAAATGGGCACTATGTCATGACCCTGCATCGCCCATCAGTCTGACACGTCTCTGAATATAATTATCTATCTCTTAATTTGCTATATTCAACACATTAGCTAACCCAAGCTGCCTAGAGTCCTCTGTCTCTAGCCCCAAAGCCTTCTGAAGACCACCCTGTGGGGTGTGGTCAGAGGGAAGCCCACCACTCACAGGTTTGGAGGAGGACGATCACGAATCCTTGTTCTCCTGCACGGTCACCTGGGATCCTTCTGGGTGGTGGTGGCCCTTATATTGGTAGCTACAGAAAGGGAGGCTGTACAGGGAAACAAGTCCTGTTTCCGGGGCCATCTGACGAGGCTCCAAAGAAAATAACCCCTGTCTGGGATGAGCAGAGAACCTTCCGGCCCAAAGGTCACCCAGGATGCTGGGATTGACATGAGTGGATATGGGAGGACTTTCTACCAAGACTAAGACCAGGCTCTCAGGGTGTCTCCAGCTGCCAAGACGATGGCCTTTGTGAGTGGGGGTTAAGGTGAAGACTGAGAATGGACAAATCAGAGAATGTGCTGGTGGGGAGAACCTAAAGTGATCATCAGCCTATTTCTGTCATCATTGGGAAACTGAGGCTCAGAAAGGGGAAGTAACCAGCCTGAGGTGACCCAGCAAGTCAGGGACAAAAACGGGACCAGAATTGTGGTCCACAGAAGGTCAGGGTCAGCAACCAGAAAGGCCATTCTACCCAATCCTCTGTGGTTGGGGAGCTTTCGTGGTGGAGCCAGCCTCAGTTCAAATGTTTGCAATGATGGGGGGCTCACTACCTCTTAAGATTGCCTGTTCCATCTAGTTAGAGTTTCTCCTGAGAGTGAACAAAATCTGCCTCCCAGTACCCCTGTGAGTGGGCAACAATGAAGCCCAGGAAGGGTAAGCACCTTGCCTGAGGTGGCACAGCCAGTGCCAGGAGACACACACACCAGCCTCCTCCCTGGAGCACTTGCTCCATCCACTCTACTCTCAATGCAGCAGCAGGGTGTGTCACTCAGCTTAAATCCGAATTCCCACTGTGCCCTACAGGAGCCTGTGTCATCTGGTCACTCTCTCTGCCAAAGTCATCTGCTACCTGTACTTGGTGGCCCCCACATCATCCTTCTCTTCCCGAAGATTCTGGTCTCTTTCTTGCTTTGAGCTGTGCATCCTCTGTTCTCTCTGCCCATGATTCTCCTCTCCAGCTGCAACCAGTTCTTGATGTCACCTCACCAGAACCTCCCTCACTGCCCACATGAGGTAGCTCCTCTTCATTATCCCCAACCTCAGCTTCTTGACTGCTTCTTTCACAGAACATCACCACAATTTTATTTTATTTTTTTAAATCTGTTTTTATTGGTTTTTGAGTGAGATGAAGGGAGAGGGAGAGAGAAACATCAATGAGAGAGGAATGCCCATGGACTGCCTCCTGCAAGCTGCCTACTATCTGGCCATGTGCCCAGACCGGGAATCGAACCTGCGACCTCTTGTTGCATGGGACGATGCTCAACCCACTGAGCTACACCGACCAGGCCACAATTTTATTTTGTTTAAGAACTTGTTCATTGCCCTCAGCAAATGGTTACCACCCTGTGCTTTGAGGCTTTCCTCAAATGTGGGTTTCAAAGGCACTGACCTGTCTCCAGAATGTTCCAAACCTTTCTCTGGGGCATCCTGTAACATTAGGCCCTACCTGGGAAGGTGGCAAGGTCCGCATCACCTGAGATGCGCAGAAATTGGATGAGAGGACTACTGCGCTCTTGTGGGACGCTGCCTGACTGTAAATGGTATTCTAAATTTCCTAGGTCTATTGTTCAAAGACCATTGTCGCATGTTTCTAGTCTTTCCTAACTACGTCTAGCTGCCCCCACATGGGTATCTTTCCGTTGTGTTTCCTCTCTCCTTTTCTCACCCTCCCCACCTCCCAAGACCCCAACTACAGCTGGCTGTCACTGTCACCTCGTGCTAGGTGCTGTTTCTCAGCATGAACCACAGCCAGCTTTTCCCATGACCTTGGCCACCTTGCACTGCAGGGCTCTGAGGTGACAGCGACTTGTCCCCTGGGTGTGGGGCTGGGGCATGGCACAAAGGCAAGAGGGTGAGCAGAGGAGCCTGTTGAGGAGCCATGTTCTCAGGGTCCCGCACCCTCTGCCGCTTCACGGCCCCAGCACGCATGAGGGCGGGACTTTGCCACACCCTTTGAGGACCCCTGTCTGCTAGAGCATTTGGGGGCGCCCAAGTCTGACCTACACTAGGCTACGTCTCCCCAGGTGGAGAGAAGCCATGCCCCCTTCTTCCCGCAGTCCTCCAGATCCTAGTTCCAATAGCGTATGTACAACTCTTAAAGAAGCATGTAGATACCTACACATATGTACTAGTACATGTCTGCACACATACAGCACACATGTGCATACGTGCACATGTGCATGATAGTGCAAGCCAGACTCAGATGAAGATGCATCTTGCTGCCTAAGGGAGCAGAACTTTGCACAGAATCATGGAGACTAGGCTGCCACTCTGCTAAATGAAAGCGCTCACGGCCGGCAAAGGTGGGTTTGGGTCTCCCCAGATTGCTGGCTCTGGTTTTTTCTTGTTCCCCCCACCCCCTTAAAGACTTTAGACACAGTTATCTAAAGACCACTGGAGAACAAAGCCAACACTAAGGAAATGAGAAAATATATCGTTTGTGTGCCCAGACCTAGCTGTGCCTTAAGTCCTATATTCCCCAGCCTTTTCAGTTAAAATACATTTCTCCCTGCACCCTCTTTTTCCATTTTTGCGTAGGCCCTTTATGAATTGGATTCCTGCCGCTGAAACCCACAGCAGTCCTTACGCATTCATTTGAGCATTCACTCTGCCTCCTCCCTCCTGGTGGCTGCTGGGGAGCCACACACTGCATGCGAAAGGTCACAGACATCCAAGCCAGAGGGGCGCTGAGAGCTCGCTAACTAACCTAACTCCTTGTTGGGCAGTCTGAGGAGCCTGTGCCCAGAGAAGGCAGAGGAACCATCCAAGGCCACACAGCAACATCGAACCCCACTTACTTTCCTCTCTTATTGCATATCTTGTCGTTTTGTTGGAATTTTTTTGCTCTAGGTAATGAGCTTTAAAAATGACAGGGGCTTGAGCCCCATCCCTAGATAATTTGGGTCAGGTGTTTGGGGAACCCAAGAGTGGCCTATGTCCAGTGCCTCGGGATTGCTGAGCAGAAATGGGAATGACTGTACTAGATGATGCAAAGGTGTCTTCTACCCTGGTTTCTATGAGCTGTGACTCCCCCTCTCCCCCCACGCCAACCTCTGAACCCCAGCTCAGCCCAGGCACGACCCTCATAACCCTGCGGCTCGCGTGGACAGCACTCTGCAGTGCAGCCTGATGGGCCTGGGGAAGCTCAGAGCCATCGAGCAGACTATTGATAATGGCCATTTATTTGGCACTTGCTATGGACCAGGTGTTTTTTTTTCCCCTTCTACATCTGATTTCATCCCCTCACAACCTTGCGTGGGGTGTTACTGCCCCTCTTGTTCTAATGAGGAGCGTAAGGTTTAAAAGAGAAGGACAACTTGCTCAAGGTCACGCAGGCAGGAAAGGGCAGAGTTGGGAAGGAAACCTAAGTAGTACAATATCTTCGCAGATTGAGAACGGCTGTTCCAGCTCATGCCTCCTGGGGCAGCAGCGAGTCGCATTCGTCTGCTCTTGTTGCTGGGCTCCTGGCAGCTGCTGTGTGTCCCTGGCACTGGGCTGGGTGCTTCAGGTACACTTTCACCAGTTGTCCTCACGTCAATCCTGTGAGGTGGTTTTGGGCCCCATTTGCCAGTTGAGGAAACAGGTTCCGAGAGGGTGGGTGGCTTGCCCAGGCCTCACAAGGACAGAATCTGAGCCTTTGGTTTCCAGGCAGGGAAAGCCCTTCGGCCAACATCACATTGAGGCAGGCTGTCAGGGCAGAACAGACCTTGGGCTTGGATATCCTGTTTCTCCCTCAGCCTCTGCTGTTTGAGTTGGTGGAAACGCCTGGTGCACTGGCCCGTGTCAACCAGGAACCGGCCACAGGAAACTCAGCCTCTTGCCAACAGACACGCTGGCAGAGAGCTCAGGAGCACCCCGTGGCGGTGTCCTCTGCTCCCCCCCCCCCCCCCCCAAGCTCAGCAGGGACCAGGTGGGCCTCTTCTTCTTGTGAACTTGGCCAGGGCCAAGGGTGAGACAGGTCAGGGAGCTAGCTTTCCTCACACAGACCAGGGGTCCCCCATCAGAGCACAGAGCAGGGAGGAGGCGGCAGCCTACGCCCCTACACCTGGGCTGGGACCTGGGGGAACCCAGGCCACCAGAGTCTAGCTGGGTGGCCTTGGGACAGTCGGCAATCCCTCTTCCCTGGCTGCCTGGCATCCAGTCCCACAGATATCCGAGGCCCCTCTTCCTCCAGGCGTGAGGGAGAGACCCGAGGGCTGTCCTGAAATCTCTTTTCCCACCCCAGGAACACAGCCCAGGGAGCTGAGTGTCATGTGGTGACCTGAGACCTGGTGTTGGCCCCAGGCCTCAGTTGCTCCATCGGTAAAATGGGACGAACACACCTGTGCTCGGATCCCAGTGCCAACATGCAAATCATAAGGGTGCCACAGCGACTCTCAGGATGTGGGTCACAGCCTGGCTCTGGGGTGGGGTCCACTCCTCTCTCTCCACCTGTTGTTGACTGTGTGATCTCTAGGAGGCACGCCATCTCACGGACCCTCAGGGTCCTTACCTGTGAAATGGGAAGGGCACCCGGACTTACCTGCCAGGTGTGCTGTGAGGATGAGGTGGGATAATGCGTGTGACAAGGTGAGCACCGGGTAGTCCCTTGATACACGATAACAGGACGGTGATGATTATAATTATTCTTGGTTTCTGGTCACTTCGCTCCTCCCTGCCTCCATGTTCCCATCTAAAAGTGAAGGTGAAATGAGACAGTGCATCCGGTATGCTTGGTGCTCAGTGAAGGCCCACGTGGCAGGTGCATGCCCCTATTGAGCCCACGTTCCCCCTCGGGGGCCAAGTCTGGGAAGTCTTTACTATGATTCATCTCAGGGAGGACTGGATGGACCGCCCCTGAGGCCACTCCTGGGCTTGGAGGGAATGATTGATTGATGATGTCTGCCGGGGTGCAGGACAGGGGTGTGGAGCTCCACCTGTTGCTGGTCCTGGATGTGTGAAGGCCCCAGCGCGGCGGTGGGCACAGCTACGCTGCACGTTCATGGACTGGGGACTCCGATCTGGACTCCCGTCCCGGCTCTGCGAATCGCCTGCTTTGTACTC